ACTTCTACTACTACCACCACTACCATACCACGACCACCACCACTGCCAACACCACTGCCAACACCACTACCACCACCACTACCACTACCACCACCACCGCCACGACCACCACCACTACCACTACCACTACAACTACCACCACGACGACGACTACTGCTACTTCTTGGGCGTTGTCAGTGCTGTAGTAACCATACAGTGTTACCACTACGGCTTCGTCTGCCTTTTCCTGCTCCGTGCAGGCTGCTCTGAAACCGTACCATCCGACAAGCCTGTCTTGCAGAATCCCCCGGCTCGAACCCCGACCTGACGTACAACCCTGTCTCTGCTAGTTTTGCTCATTTCTAAAAGGTTGCGTTGTTGTTGGTTCTGGGCGTGTGAAGGGGACCCTTAGCAAACCTTCCATGGCGGGATCCTTGTTGTAAGGACCCCTCAAAAAATGAATCCTAGCTCTTTTAAATCGCAGGCTTCCGCAAGCAGCTGTGGAGTTGACTTAACGCGTGTGGCACATTGCACCCACGGTTCCAAGTTGATGCTTCTTCTATGTCAGGGTTCTTCCAAGCCGGCTTCGTTGTAGAGTGTGGTCCGGATTGTTGCTCATGCATCAGTTAAAGTTAAGAAGAGGGATGCCTCTCTGCGCAACTAGCACAGCGAATCCTCCGAGACATTTCATGGATCCTAGGCCCGAGCATCCAACACCGACAAACAAGGCGCGCTGCATTGTCAATTCCGGCAATGATGCCAGCGTTGAACTGGACCAGAGGCTCGAACCTCAGAACAGGGCTGCCATTTCTATCGGAGTGCCTGTAGCTGGGGTTCAGGTCTGGCTTCCTCTGTGAAGCCCTAAAGAGGACCCTTGCCACAAAGGCTACCATCCGCTCTTCGGGGCGACTAGTGGTATTGTCATCACCGCAAGTGCCATGCCCTGAGAGCCAAAACTGGCACTTACGACGGTGACAGAACGATATTGCTGAAACGTTTCACTGCATGTGCACGTATAGCCATAAGCACGACCAAGCAGCTACAAGAATCCATCTAACTACCTACTATATCGACTATATCTATATTCTATCCATGCCCTTCTATCCGTCTCTCTCTGTGTCTCTGCATACCTTTTTTACGCATGCTGCACAGGCACACTGACATATGTACCTGCGTGAATTGAAAAACCTGTGCTCTTCCATACTTACTTACTGCATAGGCTAAACAAACTCAAGGCGCATCGGGAGAAAAACAACTGAATGTTCCCATAAGGGGATGACTACAGCAATTATCAACAGGAGATATGAACAATACGTAGTAACAACACAATGGTCACATCCTCTTAGCATAGCCAAAATACTCGACAATTCATAGGTGCACATGCAATTGCAAAAGACGAATATTGAATAATAATCATAACCGTCTGCATGTGTAAGGCTTTTGGCTTGCAGCTCAGGGCCACGCAGATCCCCACTGCTGTTGGCAACGGTGCCAACGACCTGTGGTCGAAAGTTTCACGGCTTCGGGTCTATGGAAAAGGCTAGGTCTAGGACTCTGGGTTAGGATGTGAGGCCTCAAGGGCACTGGAAACTAGATCGAACTCCACCAGCAGCCCTCGACGCCCAGAATCCCAACATCTCGAGACCCCGGAAAGCTTAAAGCAAGAATCAAAGGAAATCCCCGGGGCCGGCTGAGGGGCCTCTTCGGCGTCATCTGCGCCTGGAGTTTAGCCAGGCATTCAAGATCCCGGCTTCTAGACTCCAAGCCTGAGGAAATGTTTTCCAGATTTCTCCGGAACCCCTCGTCCCCCTCAAAAATGGAGCCCGTAGAGTTCGCCCACTCGGATTCTTCGATGCCAGTGATTCTTCGAAGTAACTACACCGGACGTAGGGGTAGCGAACCATGCGGGTCCTCCTATTTAGAGTCGACTCTGGGCGGTCCACTGTTTCATCTTCAGGGTTTCGGCCGCCTGCGTCGGCAGCGGCGTCGGCCACGGCAGAGGCTGCCTGGCCAATCCCAGGTGGGCAAAGCGTGTGAGATTTGTTGATAACCTAACCGAATCAGACCTGATCCATAATATAACAAGAAATAACAGATCATGACATAGTACAATAAAATATGAAACGCAGTGCAATACAATATACCGCAATGTAATGTCAAACAAAACCGTCTGCTACTCTACAATACCATGTTACTTCGCATGGCATGGTATGATATGATATGATATGATATGGTATGGTATGGTATGGTATGGTATGGTACGGTACGGTACGGTACGGTACGGTATGGTATGGTATGGTATGGTATGGTATGGTATGGTATGGTATGGTATGAAACGATTGAATATAGCTCAACCTGTGAGAAACCATCATATATGAGGATATAAAAATGTTATAGTCTAGCACAATGAAACATAAGTAATAGAAGGTGACATTCAAACAAATATTTAAAAAATAGTGTGATTCTTAGACTATGATAAATGAGACATAAAACAAACTAAAACATTAAAACAGAACATATTCCCATACAATACGATACATTATAGTGTCAAGAACAGAACAAATGCCATGGTCAGAAAAGAAGAGAAAAGCATAGACTAATTACACTGCAGAGTGATAAAACTAAATCACAACACTGTAATAGTACATCACATCTACAACATGCCATAGTATGCTATGATATACTACACTATGTTCTATCCGGCACACTATAGTGGAGTATAGTATAGTATAGTATAGAATAATTGCGTGGGCAAGCCTTTGTGAGAGACCGAATCCTGGAAGCAAGTCCGGAAACGCCAGTGCAGTCTACAACCTAAACTTAAGAGCTTAAACAAAAGTGATGCATACTGCCGCAGCATTCGATGGCACAAAAGCCAGTTATGGCACAGAACCCTTTTTCCTAGGCAGTGCCCATTGAACTGTGTACCTCCTCAGCCACAAGAATGCCCCGAAACCCTAACTGCCCTAAATCGAGCTGAATTCCCAGCATGTCCTCCTGCACATCCTGCGCGAGGGCGGGATTCGCGGCCATGACCTTGCCCCGAAGCCACGAACAAAAGACGAACAGGGATGGAGGGGCCTGGAGCTTTCTTGTGTAGAGCTTTGCAGTAAGGTTGGTGCTCAAAGTCTCAGAGCTCCAGGGGATTCAGGTGGAGGAAAGGTTTCATGCCTTCGAAGTGCACCTATCGAAGAAGTGATTATTTCCTCTCCTGCAGCCGTTGCTGCAACTGGGTTCTTCTGAGTTTGGCGCCGCGGCTGCTGCGGCAGCCAGGAAGCCGGCAGCCTAGCACAGAAGTGTAAGCAAGGCTTGGGTTTGGAGTTCACGGGTCGGACGGGTCGCAGTGTGCGAGTTTAGGCCAGGCTTCGCCATTGCATTCAGGCTGCATGATGAAGCTGATGAGTTTGTACGTCGAAGACTCTGTGCCGACCACAACAAGTCAGAAAGTCGTTTTGGCAGTCGCCTCATGACAGAAGCCCCTTTCGTCTCCTCATACGCCGGCATTGATTTCCAAGCTCTGAAGTCTGCGATAGGTCGCCCAAAGAAAGATCATCTGGACGCCAGAAAATCGGAGCACCGCACCGGACCCCAAAGAGCAGCCCCAAAGAGCAGAAAGCCTCCTCGGGCGTTCAAACCAAAATCCGCCTTCTAGGATTATAAACACACTGTAAGCTTAAGCCCTAAACCCTAAACCCTAAACCCCAAACTGTAACCTTAAGCCCCAAGTATCCGGCCATGACCATGTCCTGTCGGCCCTTGGGCTCCTGAGATGGGCCGACCTGAGGGTT